GTAAACATCCTTATCTGTGTCTCCTGGCACATTGTTCAAGGGTTTATGTAGATATGTGCCTGGGAGTACTATTGCTGGGTTATAGGATTTTCTTTTTCTTTCCTTTTTCTCATTTTTATTGAGAAGTAATTGACAAGTTTAAGGCATACAGCATGATCATCTGATTTACATATATTATAAAATAATCATTGTAGTAGGCTCAGCTAACATTTATCATCTCATATAGATACAATATAAAGAACTTCAGCTAAATTAATTATAACAATCATTTTATTTTGCCAAAGGTTCATGGAACACCTTTTAAGTGCTAGGCATCTGGTTGGCTTAGGATCTACAACAATGAATGGGAATAAAATAACCTTGTTTTGTTTCTCGTTGGGTAATTCAAATGCCCCAGGCTATTTACTTATTGTATTACCTAATTCAAAGTAGTTCAGACCTCTTCCCTACTTGATGCAAAAATTTCCATATTTTATCAGCTTGCCCTCTTGCACACTTTTTCGAATGCCTGGGGTACTCCAAGTCAGTTTTGACTCAGCGTCTTCGCAGCTGCCCGGCCTAGACACTGCGAGATTCTTCTGCCAGTGGCATCTTCAGCCTCCTGCCGCTGCCTTCCCATGTAGAGCTGTTACCCGGGGTGCCATTCCAGACGCTCGCACAGTGCCCCACGGTAGCAGGAAGGTCAGCTGTGATGTTTGCATGACTTCATTCGTGGCTTCAGGATTTCAAAAGAAAAAAGGAAAGAAGATATAAGTGGGCAACTCCATACTTGTTACTGGATATGGAGTTTCTCTGAGTTCACAGACCAAAGTCCCCCACAGGCATTCTCTATTATGTAGCCGTCTCTGCCCAGGCTCAGGCCTGTCTCCATATTTCAGGGATCCATTAGCTTTCCCACAAGGGGAATGCCTAGAACAGGTCTCTAATAACTGGATCACAAGTCACCTGTCCCCCAGGCCTAGTGACAGTCAGTTACAGGCTTGTCCTAAGCGCCTACTTCCTGCCCCTATGAATCTTTTTAGAAGGACAGTGGAAGAATCTCTTCCTTTGTGGCAATCCTGCACCCATCCACAGAGGCATGGTCTTTTCCTTTAGGTCCTGAGATATAATTCAGAACAACATCAGTACTTTCCCCAAAGTTGAGTTGATTAATCTGAAATGATCCCAAATATGGGGCTTATACAGTATGGTCAAGTTTGAGCTTCAGCAATCTCAGGCTGTTCTTTCTAAAGGTAAGATGCATTCATGTTCTCGGTGGCTTCCAGTCTCCACCCATCTCCTCTGGTTAAGTGCTTGCACAAGAAAACAGGCTCATCTCCCAGTATCTAACAGAAACTTTTAGGGACAATAGTATTTACAGGAAAAAAAATTGTGAATGACAAGATAAGGTGAAGAGATGCTACTGTACTGTAGTGAAAACAACCTTTTATATGATTATGAAAAGCAGATTAAACTCCTCAGACCATATTATCTCCAGAGTCCATGCCTTACCTTCATATCTCCACTTAATGGGAAGATCCTCTAAGATGTTTTCCCCAAAACAAAACAGCAGTGTGCCCCCAAAGCTGAATTCAAATCTTTTCCTCGAGGGAAACAAACTGCTAGAAACATTAAAACATCCGTTTCTCTTACACAGCAATTAGTGTCAACACCTCTTGGTATTCACTTTAGGCCAGTGAGCCCTATTACAATCTATATTTCTAGACAGAACTCAGTAAAGTGTCAGTAGGTGATCAGAAAAAAATCTGAGACAGATGAACTGCCTGCTGAAATCAAATACTAAGCAATAATTTCAGTCCAATACAATAAAGTTAAAATGCTGTAGAAGTATGCTCAGAGTACTTCTGGGACTACTAAGCAAAGAATTCTTCGTAGTTGCTCTTCTGAACAAGGAGCAGCAGTGTTTGCTTCTTCTAGCTTATTTTAAGCTTTCTTTTAAAAAATTCCTTATTTTATTTTTTTCCACCATAGTTCCCATATCTGAATTCTATTATGAAATAAATACTGAAACATACCAAAAAATGAACATTATCTGCTGACCTCTTAATTTTCCCATAAATTGTATTTGAGGAAAAGATGTTGTTTTTAGCCTGATACCCATGAAGTCAACTTTTTACCTTCCTTAGAAATAGGAGTGTAGGAGTCAGAACCAAACATTGGCAACATCATGAAGTGGGCAAGAATCAGTGTCAGAGTCCCGAATCTCCTCTGTGTGTTTTTATCTTGCCCAACTAGGATTAATTAATAAATTGGGACTTTGTGGACAGCATGCATCCCCCCCTCCCCAGGCATCACTTCCTCCCTCGAGTGCCCCCTGAGTGTGATGTTGGAGGCTCGTGGCATCATCTTGGAGGGTAACCCTGGGAGAAAGTAAAACAGGGATAAAGGTGATGAAAGGTGTCGGTATACTGAAGAGGTTTTTTACAGGACAGTTCTAGAATATCCATTCATTCCATTTTAAAGGTTTCTTTCTAACTACTTAAAATAATATATATTTAAATAAATTTAAAGCATGATTTATTTCTAGGACAAATAGCAATCAGAAAAGCACAGATAAGCAGGTTTATTCTTTTATAAGATAATACAAAGAAGTCATATTTTTAGATTTCAAATTTAAAAAGGAACATCATGATGTAGGTCCTGTTTCTGTGAATTACCATGTGTTAATTAGCAACAGGGGCAAGGCCAGCCATGTCCAAAATGATGAAATTTTAAGACCACAGTGTCGTCAGTCCTCAGCTGAGTCAAGGATCTCAGTTGCTTGAGTTGAAATATAACACTTAGACTTCAGTGATTCAAGGAGACAGTGCCTGAACTAGCCTTGCAAGGTTAAAAGTCATTGGTTTTCCTTACGTTTTACAATGGATTCACTTTCTAGACTGGGAATGATATATTATTGATGAGCTCTTTTTAAAAATTATCTCTTTATTTATCAATTAGTTCCATTAATTCTTAAGATAAATTTTAATATTTTAAGAAAGGATCTAAGGTAATATGTTTGAACATAACTTTTATATGGCACTGAATCTTCCAAAGTTTTATGAGAAAAATGTTTTTGTGACCCCATGATATTTTGGATTTAGGGAATAAAAGCAAAAATATTGGTATGTGTGCAGTTCAAATAACATTTCACTTATAACTCAGCTACAGGAATTGCTTAAACCTGATTTATGTATAGTTTGAATAGATTTTAAAGAAGAAAACTGCCTTTGTGGAGAGCTAAAAGGAATTCACTTAGAAAATTTTGTGAAATAGAGTTCCTTGAAATGGTGACCTCAGAGTAAAGTACCTATGGGACAAGTAGGTTTTACATGTCAAAACGAGACTTTTCTAACAATTCTCAGAGGGTTATGATTTAGCCTGTGCTTAAGAGCATTTTGCAATAGGGTATATGGGTGTAAATAAGGAGTTCTGTATGGCATACTCTATGCATAGACTCCATATCTATCTTCATAGTCATACCCTGTGCTATAACTCATTTTCTGAATTTTAAACATTCAACCAGTGAACATCCAAATATGGACTAGTCTCTACTTGCTCCTTCCTTCCCATAGAGCTCCATGCCAACTTAGATGAACACAACTGCTCAAATCCAACATTTTTCAACCTCCTGAGTTTTTCCCGTAGGCAGAAATCTTTCACAAGCCATGATCCTTTGTTTCTCTGATCCCTCATAGCACACGACTGTCTACCTCAGCCAATTCTTTCTCATGCATACCCCCTTTTTCCTTAGGTTTCGGCCAGTATTCCCTGACTCTTGTACTCCTCTTTCTTACTTTAGAGTGTCCTTTTCTTTATTCTAACTGAGAACCAAAAACCTGGCAATAATTACACTAAGTATGAAAATTCTGGTAATACTGGTATTGCTAAAATGAAGAAATTACATATATAAAAGTAGAACTGAACAAGGTAAAAAGCCAAGGCTGTCTTCATCAGCTAAGGTCCTGGAGGTACTGAAAAGTCTCCTTTAAAATCTTCACTCAAGTTATAGTCTATCACTATTTCCTTATATAAATAAATGAAAAACTTCAGCACTTAAAAATAAACAAAATTATATCTTAGTCTGTTTCGCTCTTTTTCTATTTTCAAATATGAGTTCACCATATATTATATTTCTATTATTTTATGTTTCAGATGTTCTGCGTTTCAACCTCATCAAAGGTTAAATTGATGTTTATGGGCTAATCTGGAAACCTAAATACAATTTGTTTCACTACCTATAAGGAAATATTTCAAATTCCCATTGACTGGCTTGTAAAGGGGCTTTTGGAATACAACCAAATATAAGTTGCAGACCTACTGTGTTTTAGTCTTTGTTATTTACCTCCTCCACAGCTTAGGGCATGTGTCTGCTTGTAGGTGTGCACCTGTGTGTCTAGTATATATACCTTTGTGTCTACATTACATTTTTCACAGCTCTGGGTTCATAACATCATTTATTCTTTTCTTTCTCCAGTAGATATTTGAATGCCTGTTATGTAAAAGGTCTGTTTTAGGCCTAAGAGATACCCGGAAATGAGGTTATGGCCCTCAGAGTTCACACTCCATGGAGAACAGACATAAATCAAATGATTGCACAAACACGTATAAAATGCACTGGTCATAGATGCTAGCCAGGGAGGTCACACAGCACTATTCAAGCACGGAGCCAGAGATCTGCCTTTTCTCCAGGCTCAGACTGGTTTCCTGGGGAGGGGACAGCTCCAGCTAAGATCTCAGGGGTGGGCAAGAGTTAAAAGAGAGAAAAGGCCTTGAGAAGTGATGGGGGGAGGGCCAAGGATGGAGTAGAAAGTGTCCCAGATGGGGGGAACACATGTTCAAAGGCTGTACTTGCTCTGTCAGTTACTCTTGATGACTTTTTCCAAGAGTGACCACTGCGTAGCTGGGAGAATTTTAGCTTCAACCATACCGTGAAAATTAATTATAATCATACTAGAAAATAAGAAGGCATTTGTTTCACAAGCAGTTGTGTATCTTTTTTTTTTTTTTTTTTTTTCCAGGTATGAAGTACTACTTGAGCCCTGCCAACTACCCTGAAGATGGAATTATGAATATGGCAACTTTTCTACGGGGCTTTGAAGACAAGAGGGTAAAAACCGACAGGCCTGAGGACCAGTTCAGTAAAGAGAAAAAGAAAATTCTGTTCTCCTTCTGCGAGGTGTGCAACATCCAGCTGAACTCTGCAGCCCAGGCCCAGGTCCATTACAACGGCAAATCGCACCGCAAACGGGTCAAGCAGCTGAGCGATGGACAGCCTCAGCCCCCAGCCCAGGGCGCAGGGC